TAAATGCATTTGTGTATTTTGCAGAGACTAAGTCCTTCATGACTGGAATCCATGTTATACATCTAGCATTTAAGTTGATAAAGAAGCCGGTTTCAGGAATCGTCTGGATCATAACAGCTTTGTGGGATGTCTTCAAGTCCTTGAGGTTCAGCTCACTGTCTTTTGAACACATCCATGGATTGTTTTCCTTCCTTCTGCAGACAACTAAGAGGGTTAATTATGATGAAGTTCCATCCATTGACTCGACTATGAAACGTCAGGGTTTCCGGCCATTTCACTGCTCGTATTTAAAGCACGCTCTGTCTGTGAAGGGTCGGACGAGATGCCGACAGAAGGAGAACATGCAGGCTCTGCCTCAGAAGACCACTGAGGGTATCCTGGCTCAGGACAGCTACTTCATGTACCACAGTATCCAGGCTGTGGCGCATGCTCTGGATGCGGCGCATTCGTCCGGCACACAGAGGAGGGCTGCATTGGGTAGAGGCAGGCTGGACCTTCAGCCATGGCAGGTATTTCCTTTCCCCTTTCAAATGTCCCTGCTGGACAGAAGTATCACAATTGCAGGCAATTGACAAGTGCAGCAGTGAGGGCTGGTCTTAGCTTTTCACAAGCCAACTACTCTGTTTGGTGCCTTTCTGTTGCCCTCTACATCCCAGCCTTTGAGGACCAAGCTCAACTCACTGTAGTCCATCACTGGTGCATCCCTACCTGCCCTCTCTGCAGTGTCCCTTCCTCCTGATCCTTCCCTGAATCAAGGCACCAAGCTCAAGACTGGTTGTTGAAATACAGGTTATCGTGTTGTCTGAATGTAGCCACACAACCAAAGCAAAGTTTGTGAGTCAGGAACAATGTGTTGATGTCAACTGCCAACATGCTCTGGGTGCTCTCCATAAATTAGCAGCTCGATTTCTTAGCATGGGTGAGTTCAGACAATGTCATCCCCATTTCAGCAACAGCCCTTCAGTAAGAACACACCCACAACTGATCCTTATCCTGAGAGTGTGTGATTCTCGCCAAACCAGGCATGCAAGTCACTGGAGTCCCTCCTGGGAGATGTTGTACGCAGGGTGAAACATCCCTTAATACCAGTGTCTTGAAATTTCTCAAGTGCTTGTGCCTATATCTGGAGGAGAATCTTTCAACTTCAGTGGAGAAAATACTTGTTCCAGGAGCACGTTTTTCTGGGAACTTACAGAATTTGTGGCTTTGGGCAGAAAAGTCTAATTCTCTCACAGTTATTTTTCTTATCACCTTTTTAATTCATACATTTAACTATTAATTGAAAAAAAATATTCATTTCTTCTTTCTAGAGCATCCAGTTCCCATACATTGCCAGCAACAAGGAATTGTTGCTGTCATAGTAATATTTCATGTGTGCACTAAATGGAATATTTCCATTTAGTCTTTTCCTTGTCTTTTCCCTCTCGTAAGTCAGTCCAAGTCACGCAGCCCCATTTTATCCTCGCAGTCACATCCCTGTGAGATAGATGGGTTCAGAGTGAGTGAAAGGAGCAGAAGTCACCCCGTGAGCCTCATGGCCAAGTGGGGAACGCGAGCTCCACTCTCCCATGACTCACCACGTGAAGCGACGTTGATAACATGCACATTTCATGATCCGCTGTCCTGGAGAGCAGGTCCATCTTTGCCCAGATTCTGCGGGTTGGTCTTGCCATCATGCAGCTGCTCAGCTCACTCTACTGTAGAACAATTAACACTGAAAAGTGTCAAGCAGCCCAAATTGTGGACAGCAAAACACCAGGACCCACAAGATCAGTGCATGCAAACTTAGAAGTTGCTGCTGCAAGCCACCAAATCCCTGGGTGCCAAGAAGCCACCCTTTCAACCTCCTTTAGAGGTGGTACATGAAGGAATATCTGAGATGCCAAGAGCTGTCTTGCCCCAGGGATGGCAGTCCCAAGCCATGAGCAGCAGCAGCAGTTGTTCTAGATGGGAGGCACGTGGTCAAGACACGGGGTTCTGTGTGCCGCCTGCAGCTTCTCGTCTGGCCCCCTGGTTTTGAAAAGTTGCAGCTTCCAACCCATTTTCAAAGGCAGTCACTAATGAATGTTCAACCAGGTGCCAAGGGATAATGAAAGGCTTCCTTGCTTCCCACTCTTCTGTTTGCTTTCCCATTGCAGTTCCACCCTTTCCTGAGGAACCCCCAATTTTACAACACCTCCCTCATCAATGGAGTATATTTGGATGAGAATGGAAACTTGTCAGCCAACTTCGACCTCCTCAACTGGGTGAAGTTTCCCAATGAGTCCATCATCACTGTGAAGTTTGGGAGTTGCAAGAGACAGGGGTCTGCAGACTTCAGGCTGACCATCGACCACAATGCCCTCGAGTGGCCAAACAGGAGGAACAAGGTGGGGAAAGCAACGCCTTCCTTTCTGCAGTGTGGTTATCACCTTCACATAATCTCTAAGAAGTGGAAGTGGCACTAAGTCAGCCTTCTTGGACGTGGTTCTCCAGGAGGGCTGGACAGCACCCTTGGACTTCATGGCTGGGAAGGGTCCACACGATGGCCTGAGGGCAACCAATGTGAAAACTTGTAAAAGGACCAGACAAATTCTCAGAGCAGGAAGCTATCAAAGGGTACTAGACCGTATAGTTTGTGAGGAAGTTCTGCTGAACCCATCCCTCTCCCGCCTGAGGATTTCAGTTCATGGCTAGTGTTGCCTTTGAAAGCTGGCCTAGCTGACCTGAAATGAAGCCCATGAGCATGCGCTGAACCCCAGCTGTGTGCTTTGCAACTTCTTCCAAATCACATGCAGTACATACATGGACTGTGAGTCGTGTGCAAGGAAGAAGGGTTCCTCTGGTGCCACAACAGTGTGAGGCAGAATTTCTGGCAAGTGTTGGGTGGAAACGCAGCACACTCGCTGAGCCGTAGGAAGCTGATGGGTTCCCACCACTAAACCCATGTGCCCCACATTCCCACCACCAAAATCATGTGTCCCAGATCGATGACATCAGATTTGACACTCGATGGGCTGCCCACCCTAACTGCTTCCAGGTTAAATTCAGCACAAAGGAAGCAGTGGAGAAAGAAAAGAAGCAGAGAGACAGACTAGGGAAAAAAGCAAGCGAGAAACACAACTCACATTTCACCCTCATAATCCTCTTGAGTGCAGGTCAACGCTATGTGGCATTTCCATTGGTGAATTTATTTTCCAGACGGTTTACAAAAAACAACCAAAGCAATCATATACAGCAAACAACACACAACACACTGCATCCAATAAACGATGGCACAATCAAGGATAAAACCAATTAACTGTTAAAGTATTGGGAAAGTAAAAAGGTCTTTGCATGACTCCGAAAAGAATAAAGGGATGGCGCCAGGTGAATCTCCCTGGGGAGCATGGTGCATAGTTGGGGTGCCCCCACTGAAAAGGCCCTTCTCCAAGGAGCTATCCTCCAACTTTCCTTCAAAGAGGGCTCCAAGAGAAGGACCTCTGAATTACTCTGGCAGATTTCCTTTGCGTACCTTCAGTCCCCATGTTCCCCATTGACCAAGATCCCATTGAGTGGCCCTGATGGTAAAATCAGGTGAAGAAAACCACTCCTTTCCTGTCACTGAATTCACTACCCGTCTCTTCACTATCATTAGATGGAAGAGGCGTAGTGAATAAGAGCAATGCACCAGATTTGAGGGAATATCAACCTGCTAAAGCTTCATAGGATGAGGTTCACTTACAGGCACCATGGAAATCCTGGAGGCCCTCTCCTCTCTTTCATGCCAGCTTGTCTCCCTGGTCTGCAGCTTCAACAGCCCTAACCATCCCCCTTGATGCTCCTTCTCTCTATACTCAGCCTCTCCCCCAGTCCAGGTGCGTGGAGAGCTGTCATCCAGGATTCTTCAAGGTGCCCCAGGAAGGAAAGCCCATTTGTTGCTATGACTGTGCTTCCTGTGCGGAAGGGACCATCTCCATTCAGGAAGGTCAGTGAGTGTGGAGGAGTAGGCAGTCCTGGGAAAGAGAAACAAGAACTCACTCAGACATGTTCTGGGGAAGGATTCTTTTTAATGCTTCGGTAAATGTGTTGCCTTCCTTGGAATATCCATAATTTTACTAGTAGGTCACAATCTATAACCTTGGAAGACAGACAGCTGTTTGTGAGGGGACAGACACTTGGCCAGATCCAGTGGGCCTTTCTTCTATTTATTTGGAAGCAAGGATGAGCATCTAACACTGCTTTAACACTCTCTGAAAATGATGGTCTTCATCTTGGTACTCCTGAGGCCTTGGAGGAGGGCTTGAGAAAGGGGCTGCAGAGGTTGCAGAAGGAATAATTCCATGACCAAATGCAGGATGGGAACGAGTGGGGGTATCAAACCAGTTTCTCCTGCAAACTAGCTTTTGAAACCACATGCGCAAGATTCAGGGGACAAAATTTGCAGATCCTTGGTCAGATCCAAGTCATATCTTTCCCAGGCTTGGTATTATAATTGGTCACGTACAGGTGCTCCAAATGTCCAAACGTTAGTCCTCCAAAGGCATTTGGGATTCAGAAGGGAACATGTTTACAGGGTTCATGGCAGTTAGCATCCTTCCATCCCCTGGCATGACTGTCAAATTTAAGGTCTCTGCTGTGTGGTGAAGCTCCTCTTACTCTGACGCTGGCTGAACACAGACTGAGGAACAGCTGGAAGCATCCTGGATGTGGGTGAGGAGAGGGAGATCCATCTGGGGGAATCAGCATGGGAAGTCTGGCTCAAACATCAGACAGGCAAAGTGCACTGTTCCCATATCAGTAATCCAGGTTGGGGGAAAGCAGAGAGGGAGCACATTAGTGTTCCAATCAGCAGTTTTTTTCTTCCTCTCTGTCTGTGGAATCATGGCCTATGCTTTCTCCTCTGCATCTATGGAGCACTCTACAAATTCTTACTGGCTGTGAATCATTGACTTGCTATTTCCCTTAGAAAGAAGGAGCTACAGTACTTGGCAACTTTCTAAGAATGCAAATGCGCCAAGTTCTCCTCCCCTGTCCAACATTTCACTTAGTGACATAATTAAAAGGAAAATGTGGGCTGTTGGTCTGGAAGAATGCCCAAGCCCAGCAGGCCTGACTATGCACAGTGCTTGATGCTTATTTCCTTGCAATCACACTGGCTCCGTGTATGTGATGGGATGATTGCCAAGGAAGTAGGAGAGACATCATTCTTGTTTCTTTCAGATGCAGCCCATTGCACCAAGTGTCTGGAAGATCTGCATCCAAACAAGGGTCAGAATCGATGCATCCCAAAGCCCATAACATTCCTCACCTATGAAGAACCATTGGCAATTGTCCTTGCATCCATTGCCCTGTTTTTGTCATTCATCACAAGCTGTGTGTTGGTGCTCTTCACCAAATTCCTAGAAACTCCCATTGTCAAAGCCAACAACCAGGACCTCTCCTACATTCTCCTTGTCTCCCTCCTGTTTTCATTCATGTCCTCTTTCCTGTTTATTGGCCGGCCAAGCGAGGTGACTTGCTTTCTCCAGCAAACGGTCTTTGGCATCATCTTCTCAGTTGCTGTCTCAGCTTTGCTGGCCAAAACAATCATGGTGGTGCTGGCCTTCCTGGCCACCAAGCCAGGAAACAGGGTCAGGGCATGGCTGGGGAAGAGCCTGGCCAACTCCATTGTCACCTCCTGTTCTGGTGTCCAGGTTCTCCTCTGCACCGCATGGCTGGCCACCTCTCCCCCATTCCCTGATGCAGACAAGCACACCCAGCCTGGGCAGATCGTCTTGCAGTGCAACGAAGGCTCTGTGGCCATGTTCTACACTACCCTTGGCTACATGGGCTTCCTGGCAGCCATCTGTTTCACGGTGGCCTTCCTGGCCAGGAAGCTGCCTGGGTCCTTCAATGAGGCCAAGCTAATCACCTTCAGCATGCTGGTCTTCTGCAGCGTCTGGGTCTCTTTTGTGCCCACCTACCTGAGCACAAGGGGCAAGTACATGGTGGCTGTGCAGATCTTCTCTATCATGGCCTCCAGTGCTGGGCTGCTGGCCTGCATCTTCCTCCCCAAATGCTACATTATTCTTCTAAGGCCTGATCTGAACACAAAGGAGCATCTCATGGTGAAAACTACAGACTAATTCCATGTTGAACTGTACCTAAGACAAGAATATTCTTTTCTTACTCATTAGTCTGTGTAAACTCAACACATTCTATCTCTTGAATTACAGTCCAGAGGACTTTTCCCCACCTGCTTCTTCCTCATTCTGAGTTGGTGATCCAGAGTATTGTTGGGAAACTTTGGATAAATCCTGTCTGAAAAGCATTACTTCGGGTGCATTGTGGGATCAAATCCTGTGTTTCTCCTCAAAACCAAGCTGTCACTGTTTAAAATGGCATTCAGCCGCTTATTTCTCTCACCTTTAGCTGTAAGATACAGAACACAGGCCATTTAGTCCAAATTTACGCTGTATATCTTCACAATGGTTAAATAATCATTTTTGGAATTCATAACTTCCTAGCCCAGAGGGCTTCATGTGCCCTGGTCACTCAGACTGTCTGGAGTCTATAAAAACATGAGTTGATGCATAGTTTCCCAGTAGCTTGAATTTACATGTTTAAGCAGACCTGGAGATGGGTTCAAGTTACTGAACTAAAGGGTCAATACACTGCAATTAGAAATATTGTAATCTCATTGTTACTGTGTGATTGACTGACATTCCTTTATCTATTCTGTATGTGATGACCTCAAAATCTTATTGTAATCTCTGCCTTCTGTCATCAATTGCCCTGTACCTGTGTACGTATAAATGCCCTGTAATGGTATTGAAGCTTTGCAGCACAGTTTACCTCTGCCTGCCTGGTAATGCATTCATTATCGTGAGTATGGACCCATGGGGAACCTGGGTAATTCAACACAACCTCAGATGGTGTGGACGCTTGATCTTTCCCACAACCCGAGTTTTATTTCCTCTTCTCAATTTGAGAGTCCGGGATTCTGACAAATTGGCGATGAAGGTGGGATCGTGGGTATTTGGCCCTTTATCCCGGGCAGGAGAGACGGTTCATTTGGCAGAAAATTCTCTCCACTAAGAGAGCACAGATACTCGCCATCTCTTCCATTTGGCAGGTGGGTCAATGTAATCAGAACTGGTTTTGAACCTCATTGCATGTTGGCTTTGATTGTGGACACCCATGAAGCATGGGGGTTTCAGAATCTCGGCTTCCTACCCCATGGACACCACTGCAGCAAAATGCAGGGTGGTGTGGATGGCCATGGGCGGCACCTGCAGGGTTGTTGTGGAAGGAAGAGCTTGCTATTTTGATTTAAAACAGCATGGTCAAACCTAACTCAGAGATTCCAATCTAAATTGGCCCCAGACGGCTCATTTGATTGGAATTGGCTACACCTCTTGAAAAAGCATTTGGTAGAAATACATCCTTAGGAGATGGAATCAGGGTTGTTTGGTCCAAGCTGGTGGAGGAGAAAAAAAAGCTAGCTAATGTGGTATTGGTGCACCAGGAAAGATCTACACGTGTGAGTATATGTTTGCCCTGGAGTTTGTGTAGAGTTTTATGTTCACTGTTTATGAAAGTATTGTGTTCATTGTTGCTGTCTGTGTTATCTGTCTTGTCTGTTTGTATTTTAAAGTGTTCCCCTTTCTGGGAGGTAAGCATAGCCCAGAGTGGGTTTGGGGGTTCTTCAGGAAATAGACGTTCCCCACGGAGCCGCACCAATCTGTCCTCTTCAGGTCACAGTTGAAAGCAAGGGCGTGGATGGGTGTTTTTGCCCCTCAGATGAGAATGTGTGAACCTGGCTTTGATTGAGGAAGGTTCATGAGATCATTTGCCTAAGCCCAAGCATGGCTGAGTCAGGCTGGGAAAAAGGTGGTGATCAGGGAATGTGTGTGTGAGATTTTCCCTTGCCCATTCATTCTATATGAGCTAGAACTGGGAAGTAAGGAGCTGTGTGTCCTTTGAATGGGGCTTACAAACACAGGTCCTACCCAGTTGTCTGGACATCCTCAATAAGCTTATCTTGTGTGAAAGTACTGTAAGAAAGAGGGGTTATATAGAAACATATTTATGCAGGTCCTTTCCTTGTCAGAAACTGGGAACACTGTTTCAATGTCTTGCAAGTATTCCAGCCTCTTCCATCTGCCTTACAGCCCTCCTAGGTAGGAAGATTTTCGTGTTAGATTAAATAATGGCATTTGAAATTCCAGGAGGGGATGCTGATGGGCTGATGAAAGATGAAAAAACAAAAAAAGTATACACTGTTGAGAATACTCAGTAGGAATCCTGAAAAGGATTCCTAGAGAGATAAAGAAAAGGGTTTTATATTGCGGACATTGTGCTGGTAAATCTTGGAAATTTGAATTGTTGTGTTTAGCAATTGTTCAACGGGGCAGAGTGTAAAATCAGGGAAAGACAGATTACAGTTAACCATTGATAAATATTTCTGCCCAAATTGGCTGGTTTTTCTCCCCCTCTTGAACTTGCAACTGTTTGGAATGTGAACTTTGAAAAAGGAAAAATGTTTTTTTTCTGGATGTTGTGTGTATGCCATGTGAGAATGAGAGTTACAGGAATTCCTTCATTCAAGGGGTGCATGGTGCTTGGTGTGAGAGAATTTTAAGAGTTTTTGGTAAATGGTGCTTTGGTACTTTTTCTACTGGAAAAAAATGGAAAGAAATGTGTAACTTTTGGAGTAAAGACAAGAATAAGAAATGAAAAAAAGGAGGAATGGTCTACCTTGCTAAGAGCACTCCCATTATTGAAAGAGACAGTAACTGCAGCCTCTTCTCTGGGTTTGGTCTGGCCAACTGAATTCAGGGGGAATTTCTGCAGGAAAATTAGGATTTCTTGACTCTGTGGGCTTGGCTATTCCACAGGGCCAAGAGAAGGGGGGATGCTCTGGCAGGAAGATACCACCACAATGTGAGTGCTGCAGAAGCAGCACATACAAAGCCTCTGAGCATGTGCAGAGTTCAAAGTACTTTGGGAAGCAGCTCCGCTTGCAGCCACAGATTGGAGGAGGGCTTGCACTAGTTCTCAAAAGAAGTCTTGATCCAGAAAACTCTCAAAAGAAATCTTGGTGTCTTAAAAAGAAGAAGAAGAAGAAGAAGAAGAAGAAGAAGAAGAAGAAGAAGAAAATGTTGTGTAACTGAGGCAAGGCATTTGAGGTTCTTTGAGTGTTCAAAGCTTGTATTGCCTCATGAAAAATTCTGCCTGGGAAAGTTTGGGTTAAAACAAAGACCCTTAAGCACTCTCAATGAGGAACTAGGGGATTTTTTTTTAAAGGAAGGGAATCCTTCCAAAAAGCAATGTTGTGAGCAATGATTTGGGTCAGCCATTGTCAGAATCCCGGAATCTCAATTTGAGAAGAGGAAATAAAACTCGGGGTCGTAGGAAAGATCAATCGTTATGAACCTCCGCATCTTTATTGTCTATCCCAGGTTCCCACAGTTGACTCACAATAATGCAATTACTGGGCTAGCAGAGATGAACTCACTGCAAAGCTTTAATTCATCTAACAGCAGTTTTTATACTCTCTGTCACGTACACCAATACAGAGTCATTAAGGACAGAATACATGTATTACAATAAAGTTCGGTGATCAGCATGTGGAGAAAAGATACAGGAATGTCAGTCAACCATACAGACAGTAAGATTACACTATCTCCCAAGCCGATTTTGACGTATCAGTGGAGTAATTTCCAGAGGCGTGGATCCATCTCCGGGTCGACCCAGAGCTTTCTTTGGAAGCTCAGGTGACATCACTGGCGAGGAGCGCTTTCCTTCAGCTTCGGCAGATTCATCAGCTGTGCCCCTACCTGGAATACGACTGCCTAGTGACAGTGACACACGTGCTGGTGACTTCCTGCCTTGACGTCTGTAACGCGCTCTACATGGGGCTACCCTTGAAGACGGTCCGGGTACTTCAATTGGTTCAAAATAGAGCTGCCAGGCTGCTGACGGGGACTGGGCATTATATTCGCATGACTCCAGTCTTCCGTCAGCTTCACTGGCTTCCCATTGAAGTCCGGGCCCAATTCAAGGTGTTGGTTATGACCTATAAAGCCCTAATCAGCTTGGGTCCTGGTTACCTGAAAGAGCGCTTACATCCATATACACCCACATGCCCCTTGAGATCTGCGGGACAGGCCCTTCTCCAGGAACCCTCCATGAAAGAAATTAGGAGGGTAGGTACTTGGAGGAGGGCTTTCTCTGCGGTGGCGCCCAATCTATGGAATATGCTCCCCAGGGAAGTCCGCCTGGCGCCGTCGTTATTTGTTTTTCGGTGCCAGGCGAAGACCTTTTTATTTAAGCATCATTTTAATTTTTAACATTATTTGCTTATTTTATCTGGCCAGGACAACTTATTTCATATTGTTATTTCTAGTATTTTAATTTTATGTTGCGAGCCGCCATGAGGCTTCGGCGAATGGGGAGGCATAGAATTGTTTTAATAAATAAATAAATAAATAAAATACTTAGATATATATTTTTGGGCTATCCTAAGTTCTTGTATTGCATTCAGGAAGTCTGAGACCCTGAGTAAAGTATAACAAATAGCTACTTCTTGTCAAGCGGTAAATTTCAAAAGAGATTAGCTAGCTACAATGTGAATGAATTTGACTAAATGAGGACCTCCAATTCTTTCTGTCTGCTTTTACCCCATAGCCAGGGGCGAGGGAAAGAAACATCCATAGTTTGACATTTTCAAATGGATCCCTGAGTTACACTTTGTTTTTCTTTTTGTTTTGTTTTTTTATCCTGAGGTTTAAACAAGGCTTATACGGGCCTCTCTTCCAACACCATCAAGAGTTTTCCCTCTCCAATAACTTCCATTTTCCTATGCAACATGGATCTGGGTCTTAAAAAGTTCTGAATTCCGAGTATACCATTTTGTTGTTGCTATGTTGCAACTTAATGAATGGGAGGGAATGGATGAAACTCTGGGGCTGTGTATGTGTTTGGGCACACGCATGCAGTGGGAAGAATTTCTTTTCAAATCTATGAGGCTGCTTTTCCCTTTTGAGTTCAACAAAAAGGTTGTTTCCTTTTTCCTTTTGCAATGTTCCCAAATATTTCTGATCAGTCCCAGATATTCACAAGCTAAAGAATTTTTGGGATGTGTTAACATTACCAGCATTAAAACAGAAAATGATAATGATAGTGATATTGTTGCTGTTGTTGCTGCTGTTATTGATGGTGCTAAAAGAAAATTTTTTTTACACTAGCCTAATGTTTGTTGGGGACTGAGCCCATTTGCCCGCCCAACGATGTGGGCAGCTAAAATGGCAAGTTCTCAATACTTCTTTCCATGAACATAAGCACTCATATGATCATCTAAATGTGCAAGCATTGATTGTTAGATGAAATGTGTGTTAGTTCAAGTTTGTTTGTGTTAACAATGGGTTGGTGCATTTTGTATCTATGTGGAAGAGTACAATCTGTGTAATAAGAAATTGTGTAAAACTGTTCTCATTGTCCAAAGTCCAGCAGAAAGCACATTTCTCTTTAGCCAAGGCAAGCAACAGGTTTGTGCAACACCAGTTCAACAAAGGGTTTCTTTTGTGTGCATTTTGGCATTGGTTGGATTGATTTCAGCAACCCAGGCATTTTCGTCCTGAGACTGTGCTAAAGACACTTAAAAAGGACACAGAATTTGCATCTTGAGGTTTCTCTCCAAACTCATTTGGATCTCTCTGCCACTGCCTATAAACAGCTTCTGTGAAGAAATGTAACGCCTTTTTCCTCTTAATTTTTTTTTTTTTTTTTTTTTTTTGAGCTGCAAATTTCTAGGAACCAAACAGCCATGCTGGCACCCCAGATGGGACCAAACAGCCATGCTGGCACCCCAGAAAAGGAAAGGAAAGGAAAAAAGACTCCTTTTCTCCACAGCCCTGGAAGGAAAAGACCTCCATGTCCCATGCTACGCCCTGGCTCCAGAAACTGCAGTGCTGATGGGAATGCATTTCTGTGTTCTTTCTTGCTCTATTGCATCATCCACAAAGAAAGAACTAACCAGGACAACCATGAGATGCAACGTTTACAGCTAAGAAGCTTGAGTGAAGCCTAGACAATGAAATCTCAAAGAATTGCCTAAAAGGGCAAGACAAATGACTGAACTGGACATCAGGCCATTGCTATACCTCACACTGCTCCCACCTTGCAAAGCACCAAGTTTGCTGACCAGAAGGGATGGTGGCAACAGACAGGATATTCATCACCGTGAGGGCCTCAGCCCAGACGAGGATGAAATTCTTAAGGCTGCAATGGGTCAGAGGTGGCCTAGGGAGCAAAGGAACCAGGCCTCAAAATTGAGCAGCAAAACTGGAAAGAGGTGCGGGAGCAGATGAGGATGAGAGCTGGCTGGCACTGAGTTCTTTGAAGCCAAAGGGGGCCAAAATCAGCATGGAGTTTCCCAGGAGGACTACTAGCAATGGGGTTGCATATCATGTGTTTTGGACTTTCTTCCTTCTTTTTGCTGCTTTTCCAATTGTTTCCCATTTTTTCTACCATTTGAATTGAACTCTCAGCAAATACACAAGTCCCCATTGTATGCAATAACATTCTTCTCACGCTAGATTAGTTTTGAGATGGAAGCTGTTTTCTGGAAAAAAACCTTGGAACAAGGTTTGTCCAAACTGACTCGCTTGTTTGTGTCACATAGTGAAGCTAGTGACAAAGGGAGGATTGTTGGGAAAATTTTTATAAATCCTGTCTGAAAAGCATTACTTCTGTATGCTTTTGCATTGTGGGATCAAATCCTGTCTTCCTTCTCAAAACCAAGCTGTCACCGTTTAAAATGGCACACAAGCCATTAAGTCCAGATTTACGCTGTACATCTTCACAATTGTAAAATAATCATTGTTGGAATTTGTATCTTCATAGCCCAGAGGGCTTCATGTACCCTGGTCACTCAGAATGTCTAAAGTCTAGATAAGCGGGAGTTCATGCATAATCTCCCAGTAGCTTGAATTTCCATGTCTAAGCAGACCTGGAGATGGGTTCAAGTTACTGAACTAAAGGGTCAATACACTGCAATTAGAAATATTGTAATCTCATTGTTACTGTATGATTGATGGACATTCCTTTATCTGTTCTGTATGTGATGACCTCAGCCACTTATTGTAATCTCTGCATTCTGTCATGAATTGCCCTGTACCTTCGTACCTATAAATGCCATGTAATGGTATTGAAGCTTTGCAGCAGAGTTTGCTCTGCCTGCCCAGTAATGAAGGAATTATTGTGAGTATGGATCCGCAGGGAACATTGGGGAATACAATAAAGCCTCAGATGGTCTGGACACTTGATCTTTTCCATGAACACGAGTTTTATTTCCTCTTCTCAAATAGAGATTTTGGGATTCTGACTGTATCCAGCCACCTGCAGAGCTGTGCCACTGGGGTGTCTGAACTGTCTCAGCACTGGCAGTTGCTGGGATCTGTGTGAAAGCATATGAAAGAGACTCTAGTGAATAGAGGGTTCATATTCATCTCTTTCCCAGAGGCACTGTGGGAAGGAGACCCTGAAGTCTTTGTGGCTGTGAGCCTAAGACCCCCAGCTTTATCCACGGTGCTCCCATTTTTGCGCTGTGATGAATAGTCTGGATAGGTATTCATTAATGCAGTTGGCTGAGAGACAGAAGGCAGGGGACAGAGGGGAGAAAGGAAGCCCACTTAGATGCAAGCTCTTTTCAGAGTACTTCCATGACACCAGACTCTGGGCTAGGACGTGGCAACTACTGCTGCTGCAAGCTGTCATACCAGGCCAGCCATTTCCATGCAGCCAGGCTGACCATCTGGTCTCCTAGATTTTACTGAAGAATGCTCTGATTAAATTTCTCAGTAGAGCACATCACCACCACCACCACCACACAGCATCCTTCTCCCAAATATTTTCCATGAATTAAGAAAGCAGGGCAGTTGGCCTGCTTCTCCATGTCCCTTTACCCTGACAAGAAGAACCCTGTGAGGTAGGTTAGGCTAAGAGTGACCGGCTGGCTGAAAGTGCCCAGGAGATTTCATGAATGTGTTGGGACTAGAAACTGGGTCTCCCTGGTCCCAGTCCACATTTTAATCCCTGTGCCACACTGGATCCAAGAGATGGACCCCCTCCACCAACCTTCTTCTGCTTAATCTCCTCTGTCAAGGAAGCTTCAGGCTGTGCTTTTAGCTACGCACATTCTGAACTTGGCTTTATCTCCTTAATCCAATAGCTGGACCCACAATGTCGCAGCACACACTGGCCATGGGGGTATGGGATGCCATCCTTGGACAATGGGCACTGATGGTAGAGAAGGAGAAAGATTTTCAGAAGGGAAAATTGGAGGGGAGGTGGGAAAGAGGAACGAATGCCTTCCAGTCTTTCACACCTAACCTGTTTTGACTGATGGGGACAACTCCTGTATCAATGACTTTCTCTCTTTCTGACCTTGTGAGCTGGCTCCAATCGAGCAACATTTTGACAGGACACAGCCTGCCCTACCCTGAATCTCAAACTGGGTGACACTTACTATGCCCTCAGAAAATGTGAGATGTCTGACTTGGAGATTCACCTAGCGGAACATCCTGGGGATCCAGCAAGCTCAGTAGAAATGGGGCATCACTAAATTGGAAGCAAAAGTTTGCTCTGCGGCAAATTCCCTCCCTACCGAAAAGATTCCCCCTTTGTCAGTCCACCCTTTCAGGCTCATTCCAGAGCTGGCATGAGCCCAGTTCCTGTGGAGCAGCAGCATCAGGGAGCTCCCAGGAGCAGGTTTCTCTCCAGTTGTTTCCGTGTGTATCCTAAAGAGCAAACCATCCTCAAAGTCACAGAAGGCACCTTATCATTACGGAAATCATAAGGCTTTCTTGGTAGACTTGCTCTAACTCAAGGGGTCCCCTCATAAATGAGCATCACCAAGTCCAGAAACATCTGATTCAGGAGGAACATGACGTGTTCACTTGTATTCGGGCTCAAACGGGAAGGCACATAAATGCCACGGAGAGCTTGGGAGGGGTTTACAGCAGGGGAAGAATCTTGGTACATGTGATTTCTTTCTGTCCCCCTCTGGGGAAGCCTGGTGTATAGGCTCCATCGCAATTAGGAAAGCCAGTGAAGCCTTATTCTGGAAGGAGCATTGGTTTCTTTTTCTCATAAGTCCACCAGTTCATTAGGAAGAAAGATGGCAGCTACAACCGGGAGAGCCAGAATGATGCTGCTGCAGCTGCTGCTGCATCTCCCAGAGGCCTCCTGTGGCAGGCTGAGGGACAAAAGTCCCTGGAGCTGGGAAAGGGATGAACTTCACCCCCTGGATCACTACCAACCAGGAGACTACATCATTAATGCAGCCATCACTGCAACACTTTGTTCTTTTCTGCCGTCCTCCAAGAACCCTGCTTCTAAGGGACTGCTGTGGTAAGTCACTGGCATGGTCCACAGGATACAACTACACACCATAGACAGAAAGAGTTTTTCATTTGTGCTTCATGCAAAGTCAGTGTTGGTTCGTGGTGATGGTTCCTTTGGCAGCTGTAGATCTGCTCTCCACCGCTCAGGTCAATGTTCCAAACTACAAATGTGGCAGGCGAAATCATCTGCTGGCCATCCTTGAAGCACTGGACTCCGACAATTCCATGGAGCTTGCCAACATGTTGGGAACCCATAAAGTCCCACAGGTGAGGGCTTGGGAGGAAGTATTGTCAGGTGCAATCTATCTTTCCTTCGTGGTCTCTGTTGACAAACTGAAATGTTTTCCAAAGCATTTCAATGCTTCTTTTCCTTCCCATGACCCAGTTGAGGGGATCAAGGATTGGGAATTTTGCTCCTGGATGGAAACACAGAAAATGCACAAGAGTTCAGGCTATTTATGGCATTCATTGACAGGGCTGTATTCATAGATTATTTAAACAGTTGTTTTTTGGAAGGATGTTCACACAGATAATTAACTGTGAGAATTTACAAAGATGAATGACACAGATTCAAATTTGAACTGAAAAAAACAATCAATATGTTCCTCCTTCCCTCCCTCCCTCCCTCCCTCCCTCCCTTTCGCAGAGTAATTATGCTTTGGCTTCTCAGGTCCTGAGTAGTAAAGTTCAGTTTCCATTTTTCTACCGGATGATCCCTGAAGAAAGGATCCAGTATGCAGGCATTGTCAAGTTCCTGCTGCATTTCAGATGGATGATCGTTAGTCTCTTTTCCATGGACACGGAGAATGGAGATAACTTCGTGAGAACCTTGACACCAGAGCTCCTCAAGAATGGCATTTGTGTGATTTTTTTCACAGAGCTTCCCAGAAATGAAATCAATTACATTTCAACTCAAGGATGAGTCAGCGATGCAGTTGGTAGAAAGCATTGTCTTTGTGTATTTTGCAGATCTCCATTGCTTGTTCTATGGAATGCAGAGTGTAGAATTCTCATTTGTGTCGGAGTGCCTGCTCTGACAATCGGCGCGAGAGAGTTCAGAGAGAGAAATAAAACACTGCAGACGAGAGATAAAGTTTCAAAGCATGCTCGGTTGAGTACTCCGGAGAACAAAGAAGTTCTTCTTTAGGAATTCTTCCTAAAATGTCCTCTTAAAGATGTCCTCTTAAAAATGTCCTCCTTCCTCAACACCGGCAGCCCCTTTTTATTAATTCACAGATTGTTACATTTGTATTTGCCTACACCAATCGCCATCGAGTTAATCAGCCAACTCCCTAATCATCGTGCGCAAGCGCAGGATTCAAAATGCTTACTGATTGCTTATGCGCAGGCGCAGGAAACAGGAAGTGTGCTTATTGCTATATATGGTCACAAGCCTTATATGGTTACACAGGTGAAGCACAATGCTATTAGCTGGGTAAGTTGCAATACTATTGGCTGGTAAATTACAATACTATTGGCTGAGCGTAGCATGCCTAGCTACAGCATGAATGCGGCGAGGCAGGGATGAATTCCTACACATTTGGGTTCTGGTTCACCACAGCCTTCAGGGAGATTTCCTTGGAGTTGGCAGATGTTCAAGTGCATTTCCAGCATATCTAGGCAAATTTTTCTTTCATTCACCAAACACTAAAAAGGACAAATTATGATTATTTTACTCTATTTTACATCAATATAGAAAATATAATGAATACTGCATTCATGTGTTCCTATTCAGAGCACGTGCTATCAGTGAAGGAGTGGGAAAGATGCAGAGCGAAGGCAAAACTGGAGGCCCTTCCCCTACGGACATGGAGAGGACCCGGTCCCTAGACAGTTTCTTTCCTCACAACCCTCTCCAGGCTGTAGCCCATGCCTTGGACACAGCTTTCTGCTCCAGATTCAAGAGGATTCCAAGACAAAGTGGAGGCAGGTTGGATCTACACAGCCTTCAGCTGCGGCAGGTACTCCTTCTCCTTCGCAGTATCTCTGCTAAAAAGCATGATTACCTCCTTGATTCTGAAATTTGCCTTTGAATTTAGAATGTGAGAAGTTGAGATGAGAAGGTCAATATAAATGGGGGCTGCTGGAATATTCTTTCTAATGCCTTCTCCTGGCTCCCCATGACAAAGTTCATCTGGTCATGTCCCCCAGGGTTGTTTCAAGACATCCTGAACAGAACATAGAAGGCACGTGCGGATGTTCTAGGTGCTCACTAAAACCTCTTTTGCTCTTCCACTGATTGAGTTCAGTCACTAGAATCGCATGATCTCTGGCTGTTTTCAGTTCAAATCATGGCTTCTCTTCTCTTCTCTTCTCTTCTCTTCTCTTCTCTTCTTTGGTTTCAATTCATTACAAGGTGAATTCCTCCATTCCCTCATCGGAAGACTTGTAGCCCAAGACATGGATCATCTATGTTTCCTTCTCTGAACCCTCCCCAGTCATTCAGCCTTCTTTCCAAACTTGTGTGCCCAAAGGTGCACACTGCATTCCAGGTTGGACTCAACAAAGCTGAGTGGAGGGGAATGAGCACTTCCCCAATTCTGGAAGTGAAACCTCTCATTCTTCTTCTATTTCAAGAAAGTGCCTCAGTCACAAAGCCTTTGGTCGATATTCCCTGATCAATCAGCCTCCATCAATGTCCAGGTGAAACCCTCTCTACCTGCAGAATGGTTATGACTCACTCAAGGGTCAGATGATGCTTAGCAGTTTTAGCCATAAAGTGCTTTCAATTTAGAGTGTACATTTGTTTGGACATAACACTATTTCTCACATAATAGACTGCAGTAGAGTGGAAACTTTTATATGCACTGGAAAATCCATAAATTTTATACACACTGGAAAACCAAAGGTCTTACTGTATTGTAAGAAACTGCCGGAGCCAACAATCCTTCAGCCACAAACATGAATGAGATAGAAGAAGGGGTGAAGAGTATGCTGATCAAATTCGCAGACGATACTAAAAGTGGAGCAGTGGCCACAAATGAGGAGCAGGTACTCCATATCCAAAAGGATCAGGACAGACTATGGAAATGGGCAGGAGAAAACAGGATGGCGCTCAATGTGGATAAGTGCAAGGTCTTGCACTTGGAGAATAGGAATAGGTGTCATAAGTACAGGTTAGGTGACAAGTGGCTGGAGAGCAGCACTTGCGAAAGGGACCGCAAGGTACTGATTGACTGCAGGCTAAATATGAGTCAGCAGTGTGATGCAGTGGTCAAGAGGGTGAACGACATCCTTGGTGGCATACCCAGAAGTGTGGCTGCTAGATCGAGAGAGGTATCACTACCACTCTATATGACTCTGGTGCTTCCACAACTGGAGTATTGTACTCAGTTTTGGGCCCTCATTACAGAAATATATAGCCAGTTTAGAGTCAGTGCAGCGTAGGGCCACAAGGTTGGTAGCCGGTTTGCAGGGGATTGGGTATGAGGACAGACTGAGGGAACTGGGTCTCTTCAGCCTGGAGAAGAGGAGACTCAGAGGGGATATGTTGGCAACATACAGGTATGTGAGGGGATGTCACATGGAGATGTGTAGAGATCTGTTCTCCCGTGCAGAGGAAGGCAGGACAAGCTGCAACAGAGCAAAGCTCAGGGAACCAAGGTTCCATTCAGATGTCAGGAAGCACTTCCTTACTGTTAGGACCCCGAGGGTCTGGCATGGGCTTCCACGAGAGGTCGTTGAGGCCCCATCAGTGAGGGTGTTCAAAGATAGGCTGAACATGCACAGGTTGGCATGTCATGAGCAGAGCCGACTGGGGGTCACACTAGATGGCCCAGGATGCCACTTCTGACTCACTCTGTTTGTATGTTTCTATGTTTCTAACCATCCCAATCAGCCAGCCACCATCAACATCCTGGGAAGACTCTACAGTTTCTCTGAGATATGCCAGCTAAGCAAGGGTTATATAATGCATGGGACAAAAGAACAGCACCAAGAAACAGAAAAGTTCAAATTCAACGATAGCCTTATGGGATTTGTGCTGGGAGTGTTGGAACAAGGAAGGGATCTGGAGGTACTGGTGGACAATTCAGTGCAGGAATCAGGCCAGGGACCAAGCTTCTTCTTTATCCAGGGCTTCGGGAGGTGGCTGCCCCTCGTACGTCTGAGTCCCTCACATGGAAGAGCAAAGAAATCAAAGGCATGGATGGAGCTAGCAGGACAGGGGAAGAAGAAAAGAATTTCACAAAACTTTGTCCTAACAAAAGACACTCTGCTCTGGGAAGTCCTGGGCCTTCAGGACAATAAAGGAAAGAGATGGAGTTCCAAAAACTAAAAAAAAAATTCATTGCTATTTAGACTACACTGTACAACTTATGAAAATTCCTCTTGGTCTTCCGAGGGACCAACAGCTCTAAATGTGTCCTAATCACTGCCCACCTCTTTATTCCTTCGGCCCCATCAACCTTTGGTATGGTTTCCTCCCCCAAAGGCTTCCCCATTTCCAGAGAGGTTCCCTTCACCTGTTCGGAATGGCTTCTCCATCTTGGATAAAATAAAGGTGCTTTCCTGTGACTCCTCGGCCCATGTCAAGAGTTTGAGTTCCTCAGGTCTTCCAGATGCGTTTTTCCGCAACCGGAAATGAAATGGGAGAATGACTAGGGAGTTGCCAAAGTGATGTTGCTTCTTCCATATAATTACCCAATTATAGTGATTTGTTCTTTCTTCGAATCTTCAGGGGATTTCCACAAAGCTCAACTAGAGCCACCTGACCTCACCATCAGAGTCAGGAACAAGACGTGGTGACATCTAGTCTGTACATGCCTCCTCTGAGCAGACCGCTTGGGAGAGGATGCAGAGGAAGTGAGGAGGGCTGTGTGGACACGGTTGACTTCCCTTCCCCTTCACATGTGAAACTGCAGCTGGCTGAGATCCCTCTGTCTTGGGAAGCCCCAAAAGTCTCAACGGGGGCTCTGCCCTCTTCTCTGCATTCACTGAATGTCTGAGAGAAACAAGGCAGGTCCATCCAGACATGCCTGTGAAGATTCTGCTCTTGCTGCTGCTGCTGCCCCAGGCTGCCTCAGGGATGCTGAAGGCCAAATGCCCCTTGAGCTTGGAAGAGGATGCAGGATTTTCCCCAAATCATTACAGTCCAGGAGACTTCCTCATTAGTGCAGTCACCTCTGCTGCCTATTCTATGCCTGTACTATGCACCTTCAATGAGCTTCCCTCTGAGAGACTTCACTGGTAAGTGTTACGAGCGTGTTGAATCGGCCATGTCTTCTCTCGCCAAAGTTGCAATGAGTTGTAATCATCGCAGATGAACTGTGTCACCTGCTACCTCTCATTTGCTGGGCCATTTTTTACTTGGGAGGGAGCCTTTGGGTGTGCTTCAGCACTGAATGGCAGATGATTCCCTTGAACTGAAAAATGTGCATCTATGTTATGCAGTACATAAGAAAAACATGCTGGATCAGATCAATGGTCTATCGAATCCAACACTCTGTTCACAAAGCGAACAGATGCCTCAAGCAGGATGGGCACAGGAGTAGCACTTGCCGAGCTCCAGTGCAGCTGGTGTATTCAGCCAAGGCACCTCTGCAAAAGCAAGGAACACATGGCCAGAAAGGCTGGTAGCCATTGATGACCTCCTCCCTCAGGCATGTGTCCAGCACCCAAACTGGCGGCCATCAGCTCCTCCCAGGGCAGCCGACTCCATCCTTTCACTCCACACTGCCTGAAAAAGGACTTCCTTCTCTCCATCCAAACCTCCCACCAAGAAGCTCCTTGTGCAGAAAAGATGTTCCCTTCTCTTATCCACCTTGTGAACAGAGGGAGGCAGTGGCTAACGCTTCAGTGCAACCCTCCCAACCTTCCTCCAAGGCGAATTTCTAGGTTGCCTGCATTACTCTAGAAAGCAAATCCTCTGTGGAATGCTTGCAAGAGCCATCGAAGCTGAGTCTGGGTAAGATGAGCTGAGAGGGGCAGTTACCAGAAGGGATGCCAGGGCAGAGATGCCACAGTGCTGTTCTCTGGTGATCCAGAGAGCACAATCAGGGCCACAAAGCACACAAGCCAGTACAGAAGAGCTTGGCGTTCCATTCAGCAGCATGCGTTAGAGAAAGCAGCATCAGAGAGTGGAGCCGGATTACTGGCAAGGTGCTGGGTTCCCTATCCTTGGAGGTATTCCAGAAATGGATCTGAGTGTCTCATGTTTCTTCACTGAGCATGGGGCAGGCGGTTCTTCAGTCCCTTTCCAGCCAGGCACAATGACTCAGAGGCAGAGACAACACATCAGACCACAACGTCTGCAAGGAAGAGATGGGCTGAGCACAGGAATCCTAGCCACACGGAACTTGCCCCGTCTTCTCCTTGGAAGCACCTGAATGTAATGAGAGAAAGGAAATAACTGTTAACACCAGTGCTTTTTTCACCATAGAATGCACCAGAACAAGTTGCAGCACCTTTTCTTGAGTGATTTTCCAAGTTTTAAAAGTAACTTTTGAAAATTTGATGTTTGGTTCATGTAGATTTTAATCGCCCTTTCGAGCATAGCAGGTCGGCAGCAAAATGCTTAAAATGGTGCATGCGGGCTGCTTGTGTGTCGAATCCAATGCTCGGCTGCTCGGCTTGTGGTGCTGAGTGCTTACTCTGGGCAGCAACTGTTATGTTTCGTTACACAACTGATGTGTGTGGGTGTGTGTACAGTGATTAACTACATTCAGAAGGTAAAAGAGTTCATGAATTTAGGCACCATTTTTCTTCCAAAAAAAGCACTGGTAACACTGAACTATTGATGAATCCCACCCTTCTCCAAGAATCCTGGAAATTTTTCCTCTAAACAAAATCACCAAAAAACATTTTCAGAAGGGATGGAAGAAAAGAGCAGCAGGGCTTGCGGAGCCTTACCTACTGCCATTATGTTTCAAGTGTATGAAAGCAGCTTTTAGATGGCCAAAAAACTGCTTCAGAGCACCATCTTTGCTTTTCTGGGCAAAAGGTGCCTCCCACTCCACCACCAAAATGCAGAGAGCATAATGAAGACAATGCCTGTTGTTGGGATCAGTACAGCATGAACAGAGTTGTAGAAACTGAACAAAGAGAAATTTGCTTCCCCAAAACGTGCATAAAGTGAAGGAACCCACAATTCAATATTCTCCTGTCAATGTTTCATTTATCACATTTTCAGGAAAGAGTTCACAAACTACTGGGCGTGCCTTTCCTTCTTGCTCACCATCCAGGAAATAAACCAGGATCCAGGGCTTTTGCCCAACCTCACCCTGGGCTACAACATCCACGAGAACTCGTTTGATGCAAGACTGACTTCGGATGTTCTTCTGGACCTGCTCTCTCCTGGGCAGGGAAATGTTCCCAATTACAACTGCGGAAAGCAGAATCACCCACTGGTCATTCTGGAAGGAGCTGGATCTGACTTCTCAATGCAGATTTCCACCATCATGGGCATCTACAAAGTCCCACAGGTAACCATGGAGAAGGTTACAGTTTGAACCTTACTCTATTTGGGGTCATCCTTAGAGGAAAAACCATAAAGGTGAGCTTTCTCCACTGAAGAACAAATAGGAGGGCTGCAATATATAATGGATTGGTTAAGAAAAGCTCCTGACCAGAAGTGGGGGCAACACTGGTCTGGGGAAAGTAAGATCCTTCTGCCATGTGGGAACAATACAATAGCTGGGAAAGCCAGGGGACCGCTGAGCGATAACAGCTATGGGGTAAAATATTCTTTTGCACTTCTTGGTCACTCCTAAGAATCATGTGTGACCTATTCTGAATTCTGTTTCTCCGCCACATCACATATCATCTGGAAAAGGAAATTAAGTGATGAAGTTGCAGGGAATGATTCATATTTTGTGGAATATTCATTATTCAGTATTTTCATACAGGCAAAGAATCATAGAGCTGGAAGGGGTCAGAGGGCCATCAGGTCCAACACCTGCTCAGTGCAGGACTCCCACTGAAACCATCCCTCTCGGATGGCTGTCCAGGTGCATCTTGCATGCCCTCAGAGGAGGAGAGCCAAACACCTCCCCAGGTTGTGCATTCCTTTGTCGTTCCACTATAACAGTCAGGAAATTTCCTCTGCTGTCTATCCTGCACCTGGCTGCCTGTTGCTTGAAGCCATTTTTCCATGTTCCACACTCTGGGATGATTGAGAAGTGATCCTGGCCCTCCTCTTTGTGACAGTCTTTTGAGCCCTTGGAGAATGTTCTCCTCTTCTCCAGGCTGCACATGCCCAGTTCCTTCAGTCTCTCCTCACATGGGTTTCTTTCCAGTTCCCAGATGCTCCATGTTTCCCTCCTCTGGCTCCTTTTCAGCTTGTCTGCATCCCTAACAGGACACCAGACTCTGGATGAGCTTCTGTCTATGTAGCCTGGAAATGCATTCCACCATGATATTCTACGCTTGTATTCTTGACATATTCCAGAATTCTCAATGAAGAATTTTAATTTTGTTCTGAAAAATGCCAAACTAACCATCTCTTCCTCCTTTGCCAGGTCACTTTTGCTTTTGCTTCTCAGGTTCTGAATGATAAAACTCAGTTCCCGTTTTTCTACCGGATGGTCCCAGAGGAAGGAGTCCAATACCCAGCGATTGTCAAGGTGCTGCTGCATTTCAGATGGACGATGGTTGGCCTCGTTGCTCCAGACAGCAACCATGGAGAATGGTTCTTGAGGACCTTGCCGCCTGAGCTCATGCGGAATGGCATTTGTGTCGCTTGGTCACAAAGCCTCGCAGGAATAAACGGGGAAAATCTGAAATGGAAATTTGTTTCCTTCACCGATTGTGCAAACATAAATGCATTTGTGTATTTTGCAGAGACTAAGTCCTTCATGACTGGAATCCATGTTATACATCTAGCATTTAAGTTGATAAAGAAGCCGGTTTCAGGAATCGTCTGGATCATAACAGCTTTGTGGGATGTCTTCAAGTCCTTGAGGTTCAGCTCACTGTCTTTTGAACACATCCATGGATTGTTTTCCTTCCTTCTGCAGACAACTAAGAGGGTTAATTATGATGAAGTTCCATCCATTGACTCGACTATGAAACGTCAGGGTTTCCGGCCATTTCACTGCTCGTATTTAAAGCACGCTCTGTCTGTGAAGGGTCGGACGAGATGCCGACAGAAGGAGAACATGCAGGCTCTGCCTCAGAAGACCACTGAGGGTATCCTGGCTCAGGACAGCTACTTCATGTACCACAGTATCCAGGCTGTGGCGCATGCTCTGGATGCGGCGCATTCGTCCGGCACACAGAGGAGGGCTGCATTGGGTAGAGGCAGGCTGGACCTTCAGCCATGGCAGGTATTTCCTTTCCCCTTTCAAATGTCCCTGCTGGACAGAAGTATCACAATTGCAGGCAATTGACAAGTGCAGCAGTGAGGGCTGGTCTTAGCTTTTCACAAGCCAACTACTCTGTTTGGTGCCTTTCTGTTGCCCTCTACATCCCAGCCTTTGAGGACCAAGCTCAACTCACTGTAGTCCATCACTGGTGCATCCCTACCTGCCCTCTCTGCAGTGTCCCTTCCTCCTGATCCTTCCCTGAATCAAGGCACCAAGCTCAAGACTGGTTGTTGAAATACAGGTTATCGTGTTGTCTGAATGTAGCCACACAACCAAAGCAAAGTTTGTGAGTCAGGAACAATGTGTTGATGTCAACTGCCAACATGCTCTGGGTGCTCTCCATAAATTAGCAGCTCGATTTCTTAGCATGGGTGAGTTCAGACAATGTCATCCCCATTTCAGCAACAGCCCTTCAGTAAGAACACACCCACAACTGATCCTTATCCTGAGAGTGTGTGATTCTCGCCAAACCAGGCATGCAAGTCACTGGAGTCCCTCCTGGGAGATGTTGTACGCAGGGTGAAACATCCCTTAATACCAGTGTCTTGAAATTTCTCAAGTGCTTGTGCCTATATCTGGAGGAGAATCTTTCAACTTCAGTGGAGAAAATACTTGTTCCAGGAGCACGTTTTTCTGGGAACTTACAGAATTTGTGGCTTTGGGCAGAAAAGTCTAATTCTCTCACAGTTATTTTTCTTATCACCTTTTTAATTCATACATTTAACTATTAATTGAAAAAAAATATTCATTTCTTCTTTCTAGAGCATCCAGTTCCCATACATTGCCAGCAACAAGGAATTGTTGCTGTCATAGTAATATTTCATGTGTGCACTAAATGGAATATTTCCATTTAGTCTTTTCCTTGTCTTTTCCCTCTCGTAAGTCAGTCCAAGTCACGCAGCCCCATTTTATCCTCGCAGTCACATCCCTGTGAGATAGATGGGTTCAGAGTGAGTGAAAGGAGCAGAAGTCACCCCGTGAGCCTCATGGCCAAGTGGGGAACGCGAGCTCCACTCTCCCATGACTCACCACGTGAAGCGACGTTGATAACATGCACATTTCATGATCCGCTGTCCTGGAGAGCAGGTCCATCTTTGCCCAGATTCTGCGGGTTGGTCTTGCCATCATGCAGCTGCTCAGCTCACTCTACTGTAGAACAATTAACACTGAAAAGTGTCAAGCAGCCCAAATTGTGGACAGCAAAACACCAGGACCCACAAGATCAGTGCATGCAAACTTAGAAGTTGCTGCTGCAAGCCACCAAATCCCTGGGTGCCAAGAAGCCACCCTTTCAACCTCCTTTAGAGGTGGTACATGAAGGAATATCTGAGATGCCAAGAGCTGTCTTGCCCCAGGGATGGCAGTCCCAAGCCATGAGCAGCAGCAGCAGTTGTTCTAGATGGGAGGCACGTGGTCAAGACACGGGGTTCTGTGTGCCGCCTGCAGCTTCTCGTCTGGCCCCCTGGTTTTGAAAAGTTGCAGCTTCCAACCCATTTTCAAAGGCAGTCACTAATGAATGTTCAACCAGGTGCCAAGGGATAATGAAAGGCTTCCTTGCTTCCCACTCTTCTGTTTGCTTTCCCATTGCAGTTCCACCCTTTCCTGAGGAACCCCCAATTTTACAACACCTCCCTCATCAATGGAGTATATTTGGATGAGAATGGAAACTTGTCAGCCAACTTCGACCTCCTCAACTGGGTGAAGTTTCCCAATGAGTCCATCATCACTGTGAAGTTTGGGAGTTGCAAGAGACAGGGGTCTGCAGACTTCAGGCTGACCATCGACCACAATGCCCTCGAGTGGCCAAACAGGAGGAACAAGGTGGGGAAAGCAACGCCTTCCTTTCTGCAGTGTGGTTATCACCTTCACATAATCTCTAAGAAGTGGAAGTGGCACTAAGTCAGCCTTCTTGGACGTGGTTCTCCAGGAGGGCTGGACAGCACCCTTGGACTTCATGGCTGGGAAGGGTCCACACGATGGCCTAAGGGCAACCAATGTGAAAACTTGTAAAAGGACCAGACAAATTCTCAGAGCAGGAAGCTATCAAAGGGTACTAGTCAGTATAGTTTGTGGTGAAGTTCTGCTGAACCCATCCCTCTCCCGCCTGTGGATTTCAGCTCATGGCTAGTGCTGCCTTTGAAAGCTGGCCTAGCCGACCTGAAATGAAGCCCATGAGCGTGCGCAGAACCCCAGCTGTGTGCTTTGCAACTTCTTCCAAATCACATGCAGTACATACATGGACTGTGAGTCGTGTGCAAGGAAGAAGGTTTCCTCTGGTGCCACAACTGTGTGGGGCGTAATTTCTGGCAAGTGTTGGGTGGAAACGCAGCACACTCGCTGAGCCGTAGGAAGCTGATGGGTTCCCACCACTAAACCCATGTGTCCCACATTCCCACCACCAAAATCATGTGTCCCAGATCGATGACACCAGATTTGACACTCGATGGGCTGCCCACCCCAACTGCTTCCAGGTTAAATTCAGCACAAAGGAAGCAGTGGAGAAAGAAAAGAAGCAGAGAGACAGACTAGGGCAAAAAGCAAGTGAGAAGGCCCTGAAAAGGCCCTTCTCCAAGGAGCTATCCTCCAACTTTCCTTCAAAGAGGGCTCCAAGAGAAGGTCCTCTGAATTACTCTGGCAGATTTCCTTTGCGTAGCTTCTGACCCCATATTCCCCATTGACCAACATCCCTTTGAGTGGCCCTGATGGTTAAATCAGGTGAAGAAATCCATTCCTTTCCTGTCACTGAATTCACTACCCATCTCTTCACTATCATTAGATGGAAGAGGCGTAGTGAATAAAAGCAATGCACCAAATTTGAGGGAATATCAACCTGCTAAAGCTTCACAGGATGGGGTTCACTTACAGGGACCATGGAAATCCTGGAGGCCCTCTCCCCTCCTTCATGCCAGCTTGTCTCCCTGGTTTGCAGCTTCAACAGCCCTAACCATCCCCCTTGATGCTCCTTCTCTCTTTACTCAGCCTCTCCCCCAGTCCAGGTGTGTGGAGAGCTGTCACCCAGGATTTTTCAAAGTGCCCCAGGAAGGAAAGCCCATTTGCTGCTATGACTGTGCTCCCTGTGCAGAAGGGACCATCTCCATTCTGGAAGGTCAGTGAGTGTGGAGGAGAACGCAGTCCTGGGAAAGAGAAGCAAGAACTCACTCAGACATGTTCTGGGGAAGGATTCTTTTTAATGCTTCTGTAAAAGTGTTGCCTTCCTTGGAATATCCATGATTTTACAAGTAGGTCACAATCCATAACCTTGGAAGACAGACAGCTGTCTGTGAGTGGACAGAAACTTGGCCAGATCCAGTGCGCCTTCTATTTATTTGGAAGCAAACATAGGCATCCAACAATGCTTTAACACTCTCTGAAAATGATGGTCTTCCTCTTGGTCTCCCCTGAGGCCTTGGTAGGAGGGCTTGAGAAAGGGGCTGCAGAGGTTGCAGAAGGAATAATTCCATGACCAAATGCAGGATGGGAACGAGTTGGGGGTATCAAACCAGTTTCTCATGCAAACTAGCTTTTGAAAGCACATGCGCAAGATTCAGGGGACAAAATTTGCAGATCCTTGGTCAGATCCAAGTCATATCTTTCTCAGGCTTGGTATTTTAATTGGTCACTTACAGGTGCTCCAAATGTCCCAATGTTAGTCCTCCAAAGGCCTTTGGGATTCAGAAGGGAACATGTTTACAGGGTTAATGGCAGTTAGCATCCTTCCATCCCCTATCCTGACCGCCAAATTTAAGATCTCTGCTGTGTGGTGAAGGTCGTCTTACTCTGACGCTGGCTGAACACGGACTGAGGAACAGCTGGAAGCATTCTGGATGTGGGTTAGGAGAGAGGAATCCATCTGGGGGAATCAGCTTGGGAAGTCTGGCTCAAACTTCAGACAGGCAAAGTGCACTGTTCCCATATCAGTTATCCAGGGTGGGGGAAAGCAGAGAGGGAGCACCTTAGTGTTCCAATCAGCAGTTTATTTCTTCTTTTATGTCTTTGGAATCATGGCCTGTGCTTTCTCCTATGCATCTTTGGAGCACTCAACAAATTCTTACTGGCTGTGAATCATTGACTTGCTATTTCCCTTAGAAAGAAGGAGCTACAGTACTTGGCAACTTTCTAAGAATGCAAATGCGCCAAGTTCTCCTCCCCTGTCCAACATTTCACTTAGTGACATAATTAAAAGGAAAATGTGGGCTGTTGATCTGGAAGAATGCCCAAGCCCAGCAGGCCTGACTATGAACAGTGCTTGATGCTTATTTCCTTCCAATCACACTGGCTCCATATACGTGATGGGATGATTGCCAAGGAAGTAGAAGACACATCATTCTTGTTTCTTTCAGATGTAGCCCATTGCACCAAGTGTCCGGAAGATCTGTATCCAAACGAGGGTCAGGACCGATGCATCCCAAAGGCCATAACATTCCTCTCCTATGAAGAACCATTGGCAATTGTCCTTGCATCCATTGCCCTGTTTTTGTCTTTCATCACAAGCTGTGTGTTGGTGCTCTTCACCAAATTCCTAGAAACTCCCATTGTCAAAGCCAACAACCAGGACCTCTCCTACATTCTCCTTGTCTCCCTCCTGTTTTCATTCATGTCCTCTTTCCTGTTTATCGGCCGGCCAAGCGAGGTGACTTGCTTTCTCCAGCAAACGGTCTTTGGCATCATCTTCTCAGTTGCTGTCTCTGCTTTGCTGGCCAAAACCATCATGGTGGTGCTGGCCTTCCTGGCCACCAAGCCAGGAAACAGGGTCAGGGCATGGCTGGGGAAGAGCCTGGCCAACTCCATTGTCACCTCCTGTTCTGGTGTCCAGGTTCTCCTCTGCACCGCATGGCTGGCCACCTCTCCCCCATTCCCTGACGCAGACAAGCACACCCTGCCTGGGCAGATCGTCTTGCAGTGCAACGAAGGCTCTGTGGCCATGTTCTACACTGCCCTTGGCTACATGGGCTTCCTGGCAGCCATCTGTTTCACGGTGGCCTTCCTGGCCAGGAAGCTGCCTGGGTCCTTCAATGAGGCCAAGCTAATCACCTTCAGCATGCTGGTCTTCTGCAGCGTCTGGGTCTCTTTTGTGCCCACCTACCTGAGCACAAGGGGCAAGTACATGGTGGCTGTGCAGATCTTCTCTATCATGGCCTCCAGTGCTGGGCTGCTCGCCTGCATCTTCCTCCCCAAATGCTACATTATTCTTCTAAGGCCTGATCTGAACACAAAGGAGCATCTCATGGTGAAAACTACAGATTAATTCCATGTTGTACTGTACCTAAGACAAGAATTTTCTTTTCTTACTCATTAGCCTGTATAAACTCAACACATTCTAACTTTTGAATTACAGTGCAGAAGACATTTCCCCACCTGCATCTTCCTCATTGTGTGTTGGTGATCCAGAGTATTTTTGGGAAACTTTGGATAAATCCTGTCTGAAAAGCATTGCTTCTGGTGCATTGTGGGATCCAATCCTGTCTTCCTTCTCAAAACCAAGGTGTCACTGTTTAAAATGGCATTCGGCCGCTTATTTCTCTCATCTTTAGCTGTAAGATACAGAACACAGGCCATTTAGTCCAAATTTACGCTGTACATCTTCACAATGGTTAAATAATCATTTTTGGAATTCATAACTTCCTAGCCCAGAGGGCTTCATGTGCCCTGGTCACTCAGACTGTCTGGAGTCTAGAAAAACATGAGTTCATGCATAGTTTCCCAGTAGCTTGAATTTACATGTCTAAGCAGACCTGGAGATGGGTTCAAGTTACTGAACTAAAGGGTCAATACACTGCAATTAGAAATATTGTAATCTCATTGTTACTGTGTGATTGACTGACATTCCTTTATCTATTCTGTATGTGATGACCTCAGAATCTTATTGTAATCTCTGCCTTCTGTCATCAATTGCCCTGTACCTGTGTACGTATAAATGCCCTGTAATGGTATTGAAGCTTTGCAGCACAGTTTACCTCTGCCTGCCTGGTAATGCATTCATTATCGTGAGTATGGACCCACGGGGAACCTGGGTAATTCAACACAACCTCAGATGGTGTGGACGCTTGATCTTTCCCACAACCCGAGTTTTATTTCCTCTTCTCAATTTGAGAGTCCGGGATTCTGACAAATTGGCGATGAAGGTGGGATCGTGGGTATTTGGCCCTTTATCCCGGGCAGGAGAGATGGTTCATTCGGCCGAAAATTCTCTCCACTAAGAGAGCACAGATACTCGCCACCTCTTCCATTTGGCAGGTGGGTCAATGTAATCAGAACTGGTTTTGAACCTCATTGTATGTTGGCTTTGATTGTGGACACCCATGAAGCATGGGGGTTTCAGAATCTCGGCTTCCTACCCCATGGACACCTCATGGACAAAATGCAGGGTGGTGTGGATGGCCATGGGCGGCACCTGCAGGGTTGTTGTGGAAGGAAGAGCTTGCTATTTTGATTTAAAACAGCATGGTCAAACCTAACTCAGAGATTCCAATCTAAATTGGCCCCAGACGGCTCATTTGATTGGAATTCGCTACACCTCTTGAAAAAGCATTTGGTAGAAATACATCCTTAGGAGATGGAATCAGGGTTGTTTGGTCCAAGCTGGTGGAGGAGAAAAAAAAGCTAGCTATTGTGGTATTGGTGCACCAGGAAAGATCTACACGTGTGAGTATATGTTTGCCCTGGAGTTTGTGTAGAGTTTTATGTTCACTGTTTATGAAAGTATTGTGTTCATTGTTGCTGTCTGTGTTATCTGTCTTGTCTGTTTGCATTTTAAAGTGTTCCCCTTTCTGGGAGGTAAGCATAGGCCAGAGTGGGTTTTGGGGGTTCTTCAGGAAATAGACGCTCCCCACGGAGCCGCACCAATCTGTCCTCTTCAGGTCACAGTTGAAAGCAAGGGCATGGATGGGTGTTCTTGCCCCTCAGATGAGAATGTGTGAACCTGGCTTTGATTGAGGAAGATTCATGAGATCATTTGCCTAAGCCCAAGCATGGCTGAGTCAGGCTGGGAAAAAGGTGGTGATCAGGGAATGTGTGTGTGAGATTTTTCCTTGCCCATTCGTTCTATATGAGCTAGAACTGGGAAGTAAGGAGATGCGTGTCCTTTGAATGGGGCTTACAAACACAGGTCCTACCCAGTTGTCTGCACATCCTCAATAAGCTTATCTTGTGTGAAAGTCCTGTAAGAAAGAGGGGTTATATAGAAACATTTTTATGCAGGTCCTTTCCTTGTCAGAAACTGGGAACACTGTTTTAATGTCTTGCAAGTATTCCAGCCTCTTCCATCTGCCTTACAGCCCTCCTAGGTAGGAAGATTTTCTTGTTAGGTTAAATAATGGCATTTGAAATTCCAGGAGTGGATGCTGATGGGCTGATGAAAGATGAAAAAACAAAAAAAGGATATACTGTTTAGAATACTCAGTAGGAATCCTGAAAAGGGAGCAGATAAGGATGAGAGCTGGCTGGAACTGAGTTCTTTGAAGCCAAAGGGGGCCAAAATCAGCATGGAGTTTCCCAGGAGGACTACCAGCACTGGGGTTGCATATCATGTCTTTTGGACTTTCTTTTTTCTTTTTGCTGCTTTTCCAATTGTTTCCCATTTTTCCTACCCTTTGAATTGAACTCTCAGCAAATACACAAGTCCCCATTGTATACAATAACTATCTGCTCATGCTAGTTTAGTTTTGAGATGGAAGCTGTTTTCTGGAAAAAATGCTTGGGACAGGATTTTTCCAAACTGACTCACTTGTTTGTGTCACATAGCGAAGCTAGTGACAAAGGGGAGATTGTTGGGAAAATTTGGATAAATCCTGCCTGAAAAGCATTACTTCTGTGTGCTTTTGCATTGTGGGATCAAATCCTGTCTTCCTTCTCAAAACCAAACTGTCACTGTTTAAAATGGCATTCCCCCGCTCCTTTTTCTCACCTTTAGCTGTAAGATACAGTACACAGGCCATTTAGTCCAAATTTACACTGTATATCATCACAATTGTTAAATAATCATTGCTGGAATTCGTATCTTCCTAGCCCAGAGGACTTCATATGCCCAGGTCACTCAGAATGTCTAGAGTCTAGATAAGCGGGAGTTCATGCATAGTTTCTCAGTAGCTTGAATTTCCATGTCTAAGCAGACCAGGAGATGGGTTCATGTTACTGAACTAAAGGGTCAATACACTGCAATTAGAAATATTGTAATCTCATTGTTACTGCACGATTCATTGGCATTCCTTTATCTGTTCTGCATGTGATGACCTCAAAATCTTATTGTAATCTCTGCATTCTGTCATCAATTGCCCTGTACCTGTGTACCTCTAAATGCCCTGTAATGGTATTGAAGCTTTGCAACAGAGTTTACCTCTGCCAGTCCGGTAATGCATGCATTATCGTGAGCACCGTGGGAACCTTGGGGAATACAATAAAGCCTCAGATGGTCTGGACGCTTGATCTTTTATGCAAACCCGAGTTTTATTTTCTCTTCTCAAATTGAGATTCTGGGATTCTGACAGTATCCAGCCACCTACAGAGCTGTGCCCCTGGGGTGTCTGTACTGTCTCAGCACTGGCACTTGCTGGGATCTGTGCGAAAGCATATGAAAGAGACTCTGGTGAATGGAGGGTTCATATTCATCTCTTTCCCTGAGGCACTGTGGGAAGGAGACCCTGAAATCTTTGTGGTTGTGAGCTTAAGACCCCCAGCTTTATCCACGGTGCTCCTATTTCTGAGCTGAGATGAATATTCTGGATAGGTATACATTAATGCAGTTGGCTGAGAGACAGAAGGCAGGAGACAGAGGGGAGAAAGGAAGCCCACTTAGATGCAAGCTGTTTTCAGAGTAAGTCCCATGACACCAGACTCTGGACTAGGAAGTGGCAACTACAGCTGCTGCAAGCTGTCATACCAGGCCAGCCATTTCCATGCAGCCAGGATGACCATCTGGTCTCCTAGTTTTTACTGAAGAAAGCTCTGATTCAATTTCTCAGTAGAGCACATCACCACCACAACCAGCAACACCACCACACAGCGTCTTTCTCCCAAATATTTTCTATGAATGACAAGAGCAGGGCAGTTGGCATGCTTCCCCGTGCCCCTTTACCCTGACAAGAAGAACCCTGTGAGGTAGGTTAGGCTAAGACTGACCGGCTGGCTGAAAGTGCCCAGGAGATTTCATGAATGTGTTGGGACTAGAAACTGGGTCTCCCTGGTCCCAGTCCACATTTTAATCCCTGTGCCACACTGGATCCAAGAGATGGACCCCCTCCACCAACCTTCTTCTGCTTAATCTTCTCTGTCCAGGAAGCTTCAGGCTATGCTTTTTGCTACACCTATTCTGAACTTGGCTTCATCTCCTTTATCCAATTGCTGGACCCACACAGTTGCACCACACACCGGCCATGGGGGTATGGGATGCCTTCCTTGGACAATGTTTTTTTCCATCTAGTCCTATTTTTGCTAATTTGCTGATTAGAATGTTATGTGGCACTATTCCGAAAGCTTTGCTAACATCTAGGTAGATTATGTCCACAGTGTTCCCTTTGTCCAACTGGGAGGTTACTCAGTCAAAAAAAGAAATTAAATTAGCCTGACAGGATTTGTTTTTGATAAATCCAAGCTGGCTTGTATTAATCACTGCATTTTCTTCCAGCAGCTTGCAGGTGCTTTTTTTAAATAATTTGCTCCAGAATTTATCCAGGGATTGATGTTAGATTAACTGGTCTATAGGTCTCAGATTCATCTTTTTCCACTTTTTGTAGATAGGGTCAACATTAGTCCTTTTCCAGTCATCTGGCATCCATGAATGACTTTCTCATTCATTTCACCCATGAATGAAAGTCCGTGAATACCTCTCGCTCTTTCTGACCTTCTGAGCTTGCCCCCCCCCCCCCCCGAGCACCATTTTGGCGGAATCACAGCCTGCCCTAACCTGGATCTCAAGCCGATTCACAGGAGACACTTTCTCTGTGCATGATGATGGCAGATGTATGATTTGGAGTTGCTCTAGCAGAACTTCTGGGGGACTCCAGTGAGCTCAGAAAAATGCAGAGTAGGAAAATTGGGAGCAAAAGTTTGCTGTGAGCCAAATTCCCTTCCTAAAGAGGAGATTCCCCCACATAGCAGAGGCAATGCTGGATAGAGAACAGCAGCTGCATGGCTGGCCAGGCCACCCTTTGAGGCTCATTGCAGAGCAGGCATGCAAAAGACTCCCTCGAGCCCAGTTCCTGTGGAGAAGCAGCATCAGGGAGCTGCCAGGAGCAGGTTTCTCTCCAGGTG